CCTCTCGTAAATATTTAGCTACATATACATATATTAGAGCGTACCACTTTACAAGCAAACCAAAAAAAATAAATTGGAGTCTGAAGTATTTTTGCAAAGCAATTTGGAAAAAATATATATTTACCAAACTAGGAGTCGCCTTTTCACATTTTTCGGTGACACCTACCAAATAACCAAATTTCCAAAAAATAGTTCTACTGAAATATTAGGAATAAGTCATCAGCCAAAGTCTAATCATTTTTCGTAAGCTTTAATTTGCTGGCTTTGGGGTGGTACGTTTTGGTGATAAGCAATGAGTTCTGATGGGTAAGTACTAGAATGAGGTACTTAAGATCAATGCACTTCGGAACAAAAAATTGCCTTCTCGAGAACGGTATACCGGATATATCTGACTTTAAGATCGGACTGTAAATGTCGAAGATATGATGAAAAATGTGAAAAGGTGGCCCCTACGTTCCGCTAAAAAAATTGGAATGGTGTCCTCGACACAAAAACGTCGATATGTGGGTTCCGAGTGTGAATGCCGAATAATACGCCAGATAGACAGATCGAAGAACTCGGAGATAAGGGATTTACCTTTTCGAAACATAGTTTTTTCTTGGACTGCTCGAAGAGATTACAGTCACAGCCAAATTTGTTTAATGTGAGTCCAGAAGTTGATATGGTATCGAAGGGAAAGGTTATCATCTTATTTTCTTTGATATATACATGTAAAAACAGATATTTACTTGTTAGGTACATATATTTACTTTTAGGTACAATATTTCCGCAAATTAGGTACTATTTGAAAACTCTTCAACAACTACTATCTTGAAAGCTCTTTACTGACTCCAACGACTAATTGAAATTGAATTATGCTGTTGGCCTTTATGCAATTAGGTTTTTTTTCAATAATTTAAATTAAAAATATACTTATTTTTCTTAAAAAATAAAATAAAATTAAAATTATATTAAACAAGGTGAAAAATAAAAATATAAATAAAATGAAATTGAAGCAAATAAATAATATTTTTTAAAACAATCTAAAAATTAAGAGAAAATCAAATTAAAAAAGGAAAACAAATTTATTAAATAAATTAAAATATACCTAAAAATTAAATGAACTTAAAAAATAAATACTTCTATTTTTAAAACAAAATCTAAAAAATAAAATAAAATAAACTTAAATGAAATAAAAAATATATTCTCTTTTGAAAAAAATAAAATCTAAATCCAAAAATAAAATCAAATTGAAAAAAGAAGAAAAAAAACATTTAACTGAAAAACAAAAAAAAAATATTTCTAAAAGTATGTATTACGAATTAAACAATATATTTTTCTGATTAAAACAATAAAATAAAATAAAAAAATTAAAAAAGATAAGTTTCGAACCTTATCTCTCGAAAGGCACGAGTCAAATTATATACATACAAGACTTTCTCTCAAAATAGCTTTTCACCGAAAGCGAAAGACTTTTCACTATCTTAGTTATCTTTTACTTCCTATCTTACTATTTAAGTGCCGTTTTCTTAAGTACCTATGTGAAATCGCCTTGCAAAAATACTTTAGACTCAGGGGTGTACGGCGAGCTTTTTTTT